AACAAACAAAACAATTTCCCTAATACCCCGCGACAGCGTAAACAGCCAGACGTCCCAGCATCTCTCTCCTTTATTTTCGTTACACTTTTTTATTTTTATTTCTTTTTTCATTAGGGGCGTGTGTGTGTGTGTGTGTTGCGTGTTGTTCTGCATGTGTCACACGTGTCACGAAGGACCCCGTGTCTGACATGTGTGAGATGTCGTTACACTTTCTCGAGACGTGTGTGACACGTCTCGAAAACGAGAAGCAGGATATGAGGTCCTCTGAGACATCCGTTAATTTATTTTTTTTAACAATTGAAATTCGTTACAGAACAGCCTGGAACAACATCCATTAAATTTGAAACGATACGGATTTTTTTTTTTTTTTTTTTTTTTTTTGATATAGAGAAGATGTATATTTTTTGACGATATATATAAACCTACATCCACGTGGGCGGCGTTGTACGCAAGAGGTTTTGAACAGGGTGAGATGTAAGTAAGAACATTAAAAATGAACTGATTTTTTTTTTTTCGTGTTTTGTTTTTCCACTTTTTCGCTCTGATATTTTTGTGACGATATATACATATTTGTGACGATATATATATAAGATATATATATATAATATACTCCGACGAAACAGTTTGTCACAGCCCCTCATTTGTTGTCCTCTTCTCTCTCTCTGCCTACGGTTTACCGGGCAGTTCTGTTTGTGACGATATATATGTATATAAGATATATATATAATATATATATAATATATGTATATATAATGTTTTTTTTTGTCTTCTCCTCATCGGGGGACAGCTCTCAGTCACTGTGCCTCCCTTTTCATTTCCCCCATCCCCATCGGGTAACAGTAGTGTCCAAAAAAGGAAAAAAAAATAAAAACATAGAGAGAAGATAGATAGATTAGCATGGCCGGTGGGTAAGGATGACAGGCATAAATCGACAAATGGTCCAAAAAAGGAAAAAAAAAAAAAAAAAAAAGAAGCATATGGGCGATTGCTGCTTTCTGGGACGAGGTCCAACTAGGTAGGTGGCGAAAAGCATTGATTTTAACGCCCGGATCTGGACGTGTTTGTGGAGAGGTGCAGGAAATGGTTATTGATCTGCTCTTCTGCATCTCTTCTCAAAACCCATCCAAATTCAGGCGCTTAATCCAATCCTCCTTGTTTGTGGGTCCTTGCTCCAGGTCGGAGATTGCTCTTCGCTGCCCCGGTCCGGCATCTCTGACACATGCTCCCACCCATACATTCCCTGCCACGTGTCCATCCTCTGCGCTTAGGTCTCGTCAGGCCGTGTACCACCGCTCTCTCTCTCTCTCTCTGTCTCTCTCTGTCTCTCTCTGTCTCTCTCTCTCTTTATTGCATAACCCGTCGCAAGGAATGGTAGAGAGAAGAGCAGAGCAG